TTTCAGTATTGTCTCTGCATAGAGACCGTGCGAGTTATTTTCCTCACAATCAGTGAAATAACAAGGACCAAACTGGTTTGAGAGGAGGAAAATGTTTTCAAATTTCTACCTTGAGAAGCTCGATTTCTTTTTTCTCATTTAAAGAATCTGTTTCCTGGAGCGGTGCTGAGCACAGATACACGATGGAGGGCCCTGCATCTCCCCGAAATAAAGGCCTGGACTAACGAGATGCCGAATCCCTCCCGTTAGTGAGCTCTGTCAATTCTCCCGGTAGTCGATGGGCATTCAGGATGTTTGGCATTCACGGGAATCGCTGAATAAATACCTTGCTGGATCGGGCCCTGGCTATCGCAGGGTTCATAAAACGAGGGTGGGTTTTGTGTTTAGGGCTAAAGAGCCGGTAGCGTCGTTTTGAAGTAAATCAGGCTCTAATTTTTACTTCTTAGGGAGAAATCCTAATAAAGTAGTTGTTACTGCGCACGTAGTTGCTCATCATTTCTGCCTCGTTTCAAATTCTTTGATTACATGTCTAAGCTAAGGGAGTTAGATAACCCTTCTCCCAAGAAAACTTGTGTCAGAGCCGTACAAAGAGGTAGTACTTTCTCATTAGTGGCTGACGTGATTTCAGCACTGAACAGATCTATGGTGAATAGATGTCATCTGTTCTTCGGATTTTAGCTGTGGTTTTGTGCGTGAAATGCTGTTGACTGGAATAATTTTCATCCTGTGCTTCCTGGCTGATTCTGGCAAAGCCATACCCCGTGTAGCGCTTTAGAGTGAAAGATCTAAATATTTCTATTAGCAGAAGCGTGCTAAATTTCTTGTGTGGTGTTGGCATAACGGGGCCTGACATGAAGCAGGCAGACGCTGGACCAAAAAAAGTAGTCAGCTTGTGAAAAGATAGGAACAATTTGAGCTCTATAATCTGATATCTCCTTGAATTCACCCAGGGATATTTGTCAAGTTTAGCACTTTGCTGCTGTGTATTTAATGGCTGTTTAGGTTAGGCTAGGCTCCCTCAGAGTGGCAGAGGAGGGTGAGTTAGAATTTGCATCTCCTTTGCATCTCATGGGTGTGTGAATTATTCTAGGAGAAAATGATCAGCGTCTTTGTAGATCAAGATGAGTTAACAAAATTGATTACAGAAATTGATTTATTTGTAATGAGTGCGGTTAAATACCTGACATCATACTCCTTTCTAAAGACTGTTCTAGCCAAAGGTTTAGTAACAGTAACTCCTGGATACCTAGAAATTAATCTGTTTCCAGTTAAAATGTCAATGCATATCAAATGGATATGAAATAAACCCTTGTCTGTAGCTGCTGTGCTGTTAAGAGGTTATTCATAGCTACATTTTAATCATATCTCCTTAAACAAAAGTTTTGAAAGCAAATTTGTAAATAAAATACTGCAAGCTGTGTTTATGGATGGACTTAGAACGTGCTGAGGCCCTTGGTATGATTTTTAATTACGTGGGCACGGAAAACGTTCAGTTGCTGAGAAAGCCGCATCGTGCGAGTTGAGGCTCGAGATGTGGAGGGTAAATTTAACATAAACTACACTTGGCATGCAAGGAGTATCAAAAGTGACGTGTAAAGCAAATTTAACCTTCAGAAATTTAAAACTCTGTAACTCGAAAAGAAACGGTGCTTCTGAAGATTTCTACGTAGATCTTGACAACCTAAGCTTTCTTTCTAACTATATATTTCTGGAGAGCTGTACAGAGACAGTAGATGTATGAAATACATAGTTTCGAGACAATGTGCAGCCAAAGTACTACTACTATGTAAAGGTCACAAACTTCCGATTTTTTTTTTCCCCCGCAAGAGTTCCCTATTTATCCACTCCTAATCTAATCAGCCTCGAAGTCTGCCTGTCGTGGCTGGGATTTTGCATCCCGCTGTACGTGCCATTCCGCTTCCCTTGAGGTGTGAGTTGGTTTTGGTCCTCCCAGACCAAAATATTAACTGGCCGTTCAATACCCGTTCTGTTTCGTCAGGCTAAAGTAGAACTATTTCTCATATGTAAGCTGAAAGGCACGTGAGCCTTAAAGCCGGCAGTCTGTAGGCTCGGGATAACACCGGGGCAAATGGGAGACGTTGCTTAATACCCGGGTTAAGTGTACGATAACTCCGATGCTTTCAGCTTCCAGCCAGGGAAGGAGGGGGCATCGCTCCGGAGCACCTCCTGCCGCACGTTTGCGGTGGCAGGAACGGGCAGGCGAGCAGCTGCTGGTACGGGGGCTCGGGGAGAGGAAAATGGACACTGGGGAGGAAGGATGCGTGGCAATGACCTTCCAACCTGGCGCAGGACAGCCTATTTCCTGAGCTGCTGACTCAAGGGTACAGCAAGCCCTCCCCACGCGTGTCCTTGGTTGGGATTGGGCAAGAGAGAGGGAAGCAGTGGTCAGGCACCTCAAATTTGCTGGGAAATGTGCAAAACTTGAAACCTGATGGGAGGTTTTTGGTGTGAGTCTGGGAACTTATTGCTGGATCTCAATCAAGCGTAGCTTGACTACAGAAAAGGAAGGAAAAGCGTGAAGGTTTTCAGTGTTGGTGCTTGGGGTGGGTTTTTTTCCTATTGGCAAGTATTATCTTTATGGAGAATGCCTTTAGAATATCTTACGTGCAGTAAGCAAGAGCTCTTTTAGTTATCTCGCAATTAGTTCATATCGCTTCCAAATGAACACCACTAGACTGAAAGGTCAACCTTGACCCTGGTTTATTCTGTGCCAGTATCGCCTGCTTAAAAACTCCGGCGGTGGTCGCCCCTTTCCGCCCCCTGAGGACTTGGCCGTTTATTTCCAAAAACAACCCTTCTGAAATGCCAGCTCCTCAGATTTTTTTTTTAGATGAAGACCTAATTGCAAGAGCCTGATTCTGCCCCCTGAAAAACACCATTTGCATTAATTGAGAGAAAGCAGGAGACGGTCTCTTCCAAGACGTACTGCCAAGCAGGGCCCGATGCTACCACTCGCACGTAAGAGGATTTTGGTATCCCTGGGCTCCAGGGGAATTGCTTGCAGGGTGGGATGCTACCTGGCCTGCAGGTGGTAGAGCTGGGCCCCTGCAGCAAAACTCCTTGTTATTTTATTATTATTGTGAGGTCTCCAAACTTCACTTGCTTAATGTGCTTCTTGATAAGGAACAATCTCTGAAGGCAGCGTCCTGATAACGGGGTAAGGCTCTGGATTTCCCATCTGAATTCATGCCTTTTTTTTTTTTTAAATTTTTATCATTCTTTGCTTTCCTGTATGCAAGGAGCCAGTAATGTAAACAAACATCATGTCCCTTGCATAACTGTCTCTGACACCAAACCTCTGAAAATTCTTTTAGTACATCCAGAATACGTGGGCAAAGGCTGCAGAATAAACATAATGTTTCAAAGTATTAAAAGCTTTTTTTTTTTTTTTTTTCCATCCTGGTTGCAAACTAAGCATTGACTACTGTCTTGATTTTACAGATTATTTCATGCTGAAATTATGCCTATTTGCATGGATAGTCATTCTTTAAAACTAGCCACAGATGCAGTCCTAGGGAGCACGTAGATGTTTTTACAGGTGAACCGAAAGAGATGGGAGCAATTCCAAAAAGTCTGCATGCTGCCTTTGGCAATATACCCTGTTATTGTGAAGATTGTGCTCTGTTAAGCAAATGTAAAGTTTAATATTAGATAAGCGTCGCATGAAAATTATTTTAATTTTCCTCAGCGTTGAATTTTAAGAAACAGGAAAGAGTATCTAGTGCTTTATGTGCAATGTGAGTTTAGCATCACTAGTTAATAAGTCACAAATTATGTCAAGAGCCTTTTACAAAATGCAAGGAAGTGTGTTATCTTTTTATGCTGTGTTCCTGGGAAACAATGAGAGTTCATATAAAGAGAAGGTATCTTCCTTTCTCACGCAGCTGATTGATGTTATTTCTTTCATCTTTCCCTATTTTTTCTCATCTTTTCTGCATGTCACAGGAAATAAGATTCTGTGTATTCAAAATATTACATGTGAAAAGGGCTTCACTGGGCATTTGAGATACTGTTCTTGGAGATTTTTCTAAAGCAGAGAGATGTGACACTGAACATGTCTCGTTTCTGCTATGCAAAAAATTTATCGTCATGTATTTTAGTGTACGAAATAGCAGAATCTTCAGCCTTTGGTAGCGGGGCTTGCTTGGAGAATATAAGTTAAGAAAAGGGAAGGAACGTATGGGGAATTCAAAACACTGTCATGGCTAGTCAGTGGTACGTACGAGGCTGTGTTAACGAACTACATTTTGGCCTTTATTTGATCACATCTCTGTAAATATTATAATCTTGGCCATAAAATATTTTAAGGCATTTTTGCTTTGCTGAATAAATGTTTCCCTAATGATTTAAGAGAGGGTTGTTTTTTTTCCCCAGTGTAAGCGTAAGTGCGTCTATGATTTCTTTGCCTTTCACATACACACATACTATCCTACCTACAATTAAGTGAAAGTTGTTGTTTTGACCTTCGAATGTTTATTTACCAGTTTTTATCTCTCTTTAAAAAGTAAAACTACAATTACGGTTTTTACATTGCAATTGAATTTTTTTAATCCAAATTTTATACAATTTCTTGTTTTAACAATAAATCTTAAATAAGGAGTACTTTCATCTTCTTTTGTAACATGTATCTCAATGCCCTAAATTTAATCAATTGGTTGTCAGAGGCTGTGTTCTTCTAATCTACTCTTTCTTCTGAAGATAAACAGTATCATTTTAGGCATTTGTGCAAGAGAATCATATTACTGGTGCTTAAGCAGTTTTTGCTTTTTTAAATCTTAATCCATCTTAAACCAGTGGAGCAGAAATATTTAAAAATGTTTCATTTCAAGCAGAGTGCATAATAAATTACAATAATTGTAATGTGCCATAAATCCCAGAGCCTATGCATTTTGCATTTTATTCAGGATTGAGGTCAGGAAATTTGGAGAAATTTAAAGAAAATGATTCATCAGTCCTTTTGTTCTGTTGGCCAGGGTCCC